AACGATGACTAGAGGGCACTACATGATCCTGAATCATCAAGGAAAGATTAAATTATGTTATGTATACTGTAATTAACTCAAGGAGAAGGCTAATGCGCTTTTGAAAATAATCACTAGCAGATGTCAATGCAAAATAATTTTCTCTGTGGTCTTTACCTAAGGTTGTATAACTAGAACACCTTATTCCTTAAGCATCCCCATGAACCAACATTTCACCACACTAAAATAAAGTGTATTATACTATAGGAAAATTGGAATGATAGTCTTACATCTTTATTCCATCTGACAAATGTATTCATTTCTAAATCTTAACACCAAAAACTGTGTATTTTTGTATGTTAGCACACATAAACCAAAAACTTGTTGGTGTCAAATTGGTTCAGACTCCCAGCAACCCTAATGGACAGAGTCGAACTGCCCCACAGGGTTTCCAAGGCTGTAATCTTTATAGAAGTAGACTTCCTCATTTTTCTCCTGCAGAGTGGCTGGTGGGTTTGAACCACTGATGTTTTGATTAGCAGAGAGCTCTTAACCACTGTGCCACCAAGTTTTCATTAAAAATGTGGGTCAGTATCATCACTTTTGCAAAGCCTTTCCTAATTCTCTGATAGAATTGACCATTCATTCTTTTGTAGCCTCTTGTACTGTGTTCATGTTTATGTCCAAGCACCTAAAATAATTGGGTGAGCTCGTTTGTTCACAAATATCTGCCCACTGGCCTGGGAGCTCTTTGGCTGCCTGCAGTGACTGTCTTCTTCCTCTTTTGTATTTCGTAACCTTAGTCCATTTTCTGGCACATAGTAACCATTCAATAAATGTCTAAAAGTATCACAAAATAATCAGAAACCATAATTATGTTGGTTTAAGTTCCAGTCACTAATTCACATATGCTTGCTTTTTGTTGTTGTTGTTGATGATGCTGTTGTGTGCTGTCAAGTTGGAACCGGCTCATAGTGACCCCTCCTTGGGTTTACGAGGCAGTATCACTACAGAAGTAGATTGCCCCATCTTCCTTCTGAGGAGTGGCTGGTGGGTTTGAACCACCAGCCTTCTGGTTAGCAGTCAAGTGCCTTAGGCACTACGCTACCAGGCTAATTTCGATGCTGTTTGCCCTTTCTTCTCTTGTGCCTTTCTTGACTTTCCAAAGCCTCCTTTCTACTTGGATCCCGGGAATGAAATGTTCCCAGATTACCAATTTTTCCCTTTACTACTCATATATCTTTAACTTTTCTTCTTCTTCTTCACATTCCAAACCAAACTCCAACCCTTCCCTTCATATTGAAACTCTTCTTAAAGATGTTAGGGTTATAATTATCATAGTTATCAAAGTGCTTGTGTATGTCATGTTGTGTATCATTCCCGACTGTGTCTTCAATCCCTACCACTTCCCAACCTCTTCTTACCTCACCATTTTAGTCACTCCAAGGTACAACAATGGGGCAAGTGGAGAGCCTTTTTTTTTTTTAATAAAGGGAAAAAGGCATCCCTCTCATAAAAGTTGTGAAATTGATGAAATGTATCTCAGCCACCCATTTCTCCTTCAGGACCCTTCTCCTTCTGTAGTCACTAGTTTTGAATCTCTTATACCTTCTACCAAGGAGCTCCGGTGGCATAGTGCCTTAGGCATTTGACTGCTAACCAGAAGGCTGGCAGTTCAAACCCACCAGCCACTCCTCAAAAGGAAGATTGGGCAATCTACCTTCTGTGATACCATCTTGAATACCTAAGGAGGGGTCGCTGTGAGTCAGCTCCGGTATGGCACTAAGTTTGGTTTGGTTTTGACCATAAAATATAGGCATCTTCATTGTGTAAAGAGGAAGGTTCATTCTTTTCAACACGTCATGCCTAAATACCCTCTTTAACTGAGAAATAAAGGTATAATATCTTGTTCCCAGGTCATATTTGTCAATTGTCCATAGATTTAATGCAAATAATTACTATTTTTAATAACAACTCTTTTATAAATTATTGATGGTTTATTATATAAGGTATTTTATTAAAATTATAATATAGTTTGCATTTGTGTAACCTCAGAAAAGACTAGGATGAAGGGAGGTACTTAATTTGCAAGAGAGATGTTCCAGTGAAACCTTAACCTGTTACAAGATTCATCCATGAATTGTATTAAACAACAAGTAACTTGTTTTAAAATAATTTGGAAGAATAGAGAATGGAAATAATAAAATCCTTCTGAATAAAACAGATATTTGAAAAGTGTCTCTTTACCTATCTATCTGTCTGTCTATGAATTTCCTGACCCTATATAGTGTAATGATAACCTGTAAGCATCCAAGGATAAATATCTAATGCCAAGGATTCAATGACTTTTTAAAAGTAGAAAGACTGAGAAACCACTGGGATGAAAGTGATAATGCTCAAAGTTTCCAAATGGTTTTTACAAATGGGAGAGAGAAGTTTGGAAAATACATTGAAAGTCTTTCTAATGAACCCGAGGCAGACAGAAAAATCAGTCTGTCTGTACCTTGTTAGTAGAGTGAAAGATAATTTTCACCTCATAATTAGGAATGAATTTTAAATGACCTGGGGACATTTAACAAGATCTGTTAGCACTATTTTCTGAAAATGTGTTAGTTTTATTAAATATTAAGGTTTCATTGCATGGTGAGTTTCTATGAATTTAATAACTTAAAAGTAGATTCAAAGGAATGAAAATCACTCTTCTTTCGTTTATGCCATTGTTTAATACACTGCGTGAAGGGCGGATTTTTAGGGAACATAGGCTGGAGTTGTCATCCTACATTCTCAAGAGCTGTGTGCAGGAATATTTTTCTTTTATTTTGATGGAGACACTGAAGCACAAAAGCAGACTTAAAATTAGTTCAAAAAATAATGATCTGAGGTGGTTACCTCCCTGTCTTTGTTTTAATAGTAATAATAATTGCCCCCTTTGTAGAGGCCATTACTGATTCCAAATGGCAACAAAATGATTTGTGCAAGATTGATGAAGTCCGTGGCCTGTCTTTTATGTTATTCTTTTCTGGATCTTTATCACACTAATTATCGGGAAGTTTCTGGGAAGCAAAATATAAGTACAACATTATTACCATTACTTTTCTGTTCTTCAAGGGGAAACTCAAACATTAAAGAGGTCACGAGTTCTAAACCTGTCATTGGGTGAAAGGAGGTATCTCCTGTCATCTAAAGTCCCAGATAGATGTGCATATCATGAGAGAAGTGTTCTCCATTTTCTAGAGCCATAGTGCCTTAAAGCGAGACTGGAAAAGTTGAGCCCAAACATGGCCCGTACTAGTATAACCCACGTGTGCTGTTTGGTAGGTGGAAGCTGTTGGTAAGAATGAGGGTTTCTCAGTTGGAGGATGGTCAGGTACAGGTGCTTGTCTGACAGGTACAGCACAGCCAGAGGAAGTGGGTACCGGTACTGGCCAACCAAGGACTGAGGGCTCCTCTTACTTTCTTGCTCTTAGTTCACTGGTTGCGGGATTGCCAATTGCAGGTAGTCACTGAGTACTCAAGTTATTATTCCTCGTAAGTAGCTACATGTACAGAATTCTGGCCCATTTATGTCATGGGTGACTTCTGCTCGGAGTGTGAAACAGCTCAGTGATTTATTCTTATTTTCTACTGGGGGACGCCATATTTTAGCTTACATTATAGTGTCAAGTTACTTTTTGTTTTATTTTATTTTATTGTTAAATAAAAAAGCATTTTTCACGTGAGTATGTGTGTAAGTTTAAAGAATTCTGGTTTATAAAAAAATGGAGACATAGTCAGTGACTTTATAGAACATGTAGGATATTCTTTGGACAACCATCCTATTCCTCAGTGTTTAATCAATCATGCTCTTTCACTCCGATGAAGCTTTCAGTTTTGAGAATAGAGCTTGTCAGGTGTCGCTTTGAATGACAACACCAACAACAAAAAAGAGTAGTTGACTTCAGGCAAGAAGAACACAGTTTTAAAAAAGAAAACAAATCCAGCATTTGCTCCACAATTTGCCCGTTGCAGCAACAGACTCTTATCTGACCATCCACATTCATATGCTCTCTGATGCTCTCGCTTCAGTTGCAGAAGCTATTTTTGCACCTTTTGTCTCTTTTGAGGAACCAAGTGGGCCTGCTTACTGTTAATGATTCATGTCTCGGAGTGCACAGGATGTTCTGCAATGCTACTGCAGTGCCGTGCGGAAAACAGGGAGAATTCAAGCAAACTGCTTCTTTTAAGCATTCCCAGTGCTCAGTGGAGTGGTTAACTGTCATGCTTTTAGTCCTTTCTACAAAGGTTTTGGTAATAACTTGTCTGAAAGAATGAACAAGGTTTTTGGTTTTTTTTAATGACAAATATGCAATAACCATCTATGGGTAATGTAGTAATATGGGCCTTTTATGCTGGAAGATAAACCATCTGAAGATGGTTGGTTGGTTAATCTGTAAGTAGTTTGACTGCTCTTCCATCAGACTTTAAGTCTAAGTATAGGAAAGTCTCTTTCTATATTACTTACTAGAGTTTGTGACGTCTCAGGATTTTACTTTGACTAGTTTTGGTTTCCCATTTCAAGAATTATTTCTAGCACTGAAGATAGCATGACTGAAATAAATTAACTATAGAAAAGATCTTGTTAAGAGGTCATCTGAGAGTTCATTCTGTGGCGTTTGGTTGCTGATGCACAGAAGTAGTTCTGTAAGCTCCCTCCTCTGAGGCAGAACTATATGATGGACTCCAAGAGTGTAATGTCTAGGTCAAATACATTAAGTTTTAACTCCAGCATTACTCTCATAGTTGCCTCCATATTAGCCGTTACAGGCAGTTCCCAGATAAGGCAAGTATTTACTCCAAAGATTTTAGCTTTAAAAAAAGGAATATTTTTCTTGGGAAAGAAAAAAAAAAAAAAAACCTCTTGAGAGTTCCAGTTCCAAATTTTCATTCCTAAGAGAAGGTAGACTTTGTGGGTGAATAATAAGCAAATCTGTTCAGTTCATTATGAGTGTCATCATCTTCTAAACCTTCTTGTTCATTTTTAGATGCCCAGAAGTTGTGCATGAGCTCCTGTGGGGAGAACTGGCATCTTGGAGAGCAAAGACGGTTGTGATGCAGTTTTTTGATATGAGGATAAAAGGTTAACAACTAAAACTTATTCTTTTACTTTACCATTTTCACATTTAACTTGAAGTATAGTTTTTGCCTACAATGTACCCATATGGAAAATGGATTTTGTCATCAAATCTGGGAGGAAACAATGTATCTTCCACATAGAGAGGAAGGTGTTCTGAAGGTTTGATTTGGTTTTATTTTGTTTTTCATAATAGGCCAGTTTTGACAATAATGTCCTTAATTGAGATACTGTCATTCAGTTCTTGATGTCCAAGTCTGTTTTAATGTGAAATGCCACTTAGTAAATCCTAATCACCTTTTCTATGTAATGGGAAAACAGAAAGGTGTAAACACTGTAGTGATTGTAAAAAAATCATGGCAAACTAATTAAAAGGGGCGTGCTGTTCTCAAAAATGTCTTGACTAAATATGCAAACTATATGAATATCTGCAATGATGTCCTCTTTGTAGCCAGAGAGAAATATATAGTTCAGTTTTCCATTAGGTTTTATGTATCAAATTCAATTTTAAGATAGGTCAAATTAGAGTGTGATCATACCAATATTTTTACTTTTCTCCAGAACGTCTCTGAATTGCTTGGCAAGGTTTTATATAATCTACAGTATTCTCTGCAGACTGGCAAATTCCTCATTTTTTTGGGAGAACTGAGGTGGTTATGAGATTTTCACTAATAAAAGGGGCATTTAGAACGAATTTGGATCTCAGGAAGGTACCTTTTTTTAATCACCCTGTGGAAATAAATCTATTCAGTTGGACTCTGGCACTGATTATTGCTTTTTTGGTAGATCTTTTTCTTGTCACCTGGTACTCAGATGCACACTCTGCGTTAGGGGAGGTGTAGTGAATGGCAGTAAGCAGTGGACAGGCAATGCTAAAGCAATGGTTTCCTAAGAAGCACAGCTGTTTCCTCAAATATGTTGTCATCGATTTGTTGGCGATGTGTAGCATTGAGCTGATTCTGATGCATAGTGGCTCTGTATGGTTATGCACTCTGTTGCTGACCAAAAGGTCGGCACTTTAAGTCCACCAACGACTCCATAGAAAAGTCTTGGGAGAAAGACTTGGTGATGTGCTCTCATAAAGATTACAGCCCAGGAAACCCTGTGGGGCAGTTGTACTCCATCCTATAGGGTCCCTATGAGTATGAAGAATTGATTTAGGGGATTTTAAAAACAGATATAAGGAAATCCTTTCTGAAATTTTGTTCCATAACTACTGTCTTGGGCATATATTTTGTTCATACGTGTGATATTATCAAATTTTTAAACAAAGCCCCCCAAATAATTGTATCTGTTGAATTTTTTTTTTATTAAAATGTTAAAATAGAGGAGTGTTTGTTGCATTCATTTTATGGCATTATTATTTGTTGTTGTTGTTAGGATGTAGCTATTTAATGCTCACTTGACTTTTGCCACCGCTCAAGTAATGATTAATTTCCTGAGGTAAAGTTTTTTCTAAGGTAGTGTTTTTCTAAGCGGAGGTCCCAGATCGACAACCGTGGATACTGTAGTCTTTTATTCATCTGCAGAGCAAGCTTGCCTTCCTGCCAATCCCACCCAGCTGCTATCCTGAAGAGACCTCTGTCAAACACTCTACAGGAGGCTGTGTCTGGGCTTTCCTTTCGAGGCCTGTCTGAGGAAATCATTTAACTGTGTGCCAAACTTATTTGAGTGGGACTATGAAGAGTGGCCAAGGAGAGGGCACACTTTTAGGGAAATGACAGCTCTTCCATGAAGTATCCCTTTCTTTTCTTTTGCTACAATTCCTTTAGTTCCATTACCACTGAAATAGCCGCACACAGTGTGGCATCTTCTTCAGATACTACCTCCCTGAAGAATGTGAAGGGCCTGCTAGACACTGCTTATTTTTACTACCTACAGGACTTTGATGGGCTGTAGTACCATCCACAGGAAACTCAAAAGCCATATCCTCTGGATTAGGAGAAATTTTAAATGTGAACATGAAACTGTGTTAGAATAAGGCAGTGGGTGCCAGAGATGAACTTTGCCTTGGTTTGTACCATTAAAAAAAAAAAAAAAAAAACTCAGTGAATATAACTAGCTGTGTTCTTTTTATAAGAGAATTGCTTTTATATTACATTTTTTAACATATCAATTGATTGGGAACACAGTGGAATTTATTTTTAATGCACAATTAGACAATATGAAAAATGAATTGAATCTCCATGAACATAAGGGAAGTAACATAGCAACAATGAACCACATTAGTATAGATCTCAATAGATCAAGTAGCTATATATTGAGAAAATTAAACTGAAATTGCAAGTATAGACATATTTGGTGGTATGTAATAAAATTAGGGAATTCTTTGAACTCATAACTACAGTCTTAAGGCATATATTTTGTTTATAAGTAAAATACTATCAAATTCTTTTAATAATTTTACTTTTTAAACTGTTTTATTATTAAAATTTTAAAATAGAGGAATGTTTGTTGCACTCATATTGTGCCATTATTATGTAGGATGTTTCTGTTTTTCCTAGACTCAATTTTCCATTTAATGTAGATTTCCTTCTATAATATACTTATACATATGTTTCACCATCTATATGTGTTTTCATACATTTAAGTAATAAAACTACCCACCACCCACAGCCGTCAAGTTGATTCCAACTCATGGTGACCCTATAGAACAGGGTAGAACTGCCTAATTAGGGTTTCCAAGGCTGTAAATCTTTATGGAAGCAGAATGTCACATCTTTCTCCCATAAAGCAGCTGATGGGTTAAAACCACCCACCCATGATTTTGGAGCAAATAATATGTCTTCAAATATGTTTAAAGGTCCTCTCTAAAGTAAAAGATCTTCAAATCTTCAAATATGTTTAGGTCCTCTCTAAAGTAAAAGGTTCATATGACATGGAAATGATTTCCCATTGGAATAATATTCTTTTTATTTTATTTTAAGGGTTTGTTTTACATTCAACATTATGTGTACATTTAGTTTTATTGCCCATTTACCATGTCCAACCCTAACCCAGTCTCCTTCCCTCCCTGCTCAGTAACCCTCCCCCTGTGCCCCTCATAGTTATGCACTCCTGTGTGTCAGGCATTTCCTCCATGTGAATGTTGCCCCTCTAGTGCCCCATGGTTTATTGCTCTAAGGGATATATTGCGATAGAGTATATGGGTGCGTCCCCCTGGGTTGAGTGGTCTGCATGTACTATTGGGCTGAAAGCCAGCTCCTAGGAGTAAGTTTTATTCCAGGCCCAGAATGTATCCCAGGGCCACAGTTTTGGGGGTCTCACCAGACTCCATCTGACTGTAATTCTGGTCATTATTGAGTTTTTAGATTTTGTTCCACGTTTTTCCTCCCACTCTATCCAAGATCTCCACATTTGATCCTTTCCTAAGTGGTTGGCATTTCTAGCCAGGCACCATCTAGTTCTTCTGGTCTCAAGGGCCATTGTGTCCTAGAGCTGATTGCTTCCAAAGGCCCTTGTGGGTTTTTTTTTTTTTTTTTTTTTGCACTCTTCTTTGCTTCCAGTGATAGGAGACCATTAGCTGCATCTTAGATGGCCCACTTGAAAGCTTTTAAGACCCCAGTCACTACTTACCAATGTAGGATGAGGAACAAGGCTTTTATGTATTATGTTGTGCCAATTGAGTCTGGTGTCCTCCAGTACTATGGTCCTGAGATGGTAGATGCATTGGATCTCTCTCCCATAGTGTCTGGGTGTCTGTGAGGGATTACTCTGTGTCTGTCTTCTATTGTTTCTGTAAGGACTGAAGATATTTTGTGTCACTGGTATCTGTGCAAGATTAGCCTGCAGTGAATCTATCCTTGGTCAGTGACATGAAAGTTAGACATTACAGTTTAGAGACCTGTGGCCCAGTGAAATCCCAGGAACTCTTCCTGAAGGACCCAGGAGTGGAAGCAGGATGTGGGCAGTCATCTAATTTCATGATAAAATGGTAGGACATCTTAGTTAGTCTTGTGTTAAAGGAAAGAGGTTTGCCTGACAGAAGCTATTTGTATCATTGAGTTAATGTTTTTGTTTTGTTTTTACTAGGATCAAAGTTTTGAATTTTAAAATCTTCTGGATAAGTAAGATTGGAATATAGAATGATTCTTTATTAACTTTAGCAAAATTGATTTTTATTTCTTTAACAAAAGAGTTCTTGTTGGTTGCCACTGTGTTGGTTCTAACTCACAGCACCCCATGGGATAGAGTAAAACTGCCCCATAGGGTCTTCTTGTCTGTAATCTTTAAGGAAACAGGTCACCAGGTCTTTCACCCATGGAGCCTCTGGGTGGATTCAAACTGCCAACCTTTTGGTTAGCAGCTGAACACTTAACCATTACACAATCAGGTCGTTTTAATAAAACAATACCTATGACTCTTTCTTCTGATTAGGTCCTCTCTAAAAGTTAAACCCAACAATGGTTAACTGGATGTCACAGGTAGTTTTTGTTCTGACCATAACATATCAGCTTAGGGACTTTATGTAAATCACCTTTCTGTACCTTCTAGTCTGTTCTTTAGTAGCAAAATATCATTGCCTTTGTTTGAATTTTATTTGGTGCATCTATTTTATAATATGTCCTTAGTGAATCAGAATTGTATATGTCTGATTTAGGATGTAATGCCTTTTAATTTATTACTGTAAATGATAAACATTAAATCCATCTGATTTATAAAGATATTACAGTATTGTTAATTGAAAGCATTATATTCTACATAATAATTTATTATATCTATTTCCTAGTTCTGTTTTTTATAAAATTTTATGTACTACTTTAACTTGAAATTCATGTTTTAAGCAAAACTATATCTTCTGTGTAAACGAGTGGATGAGAAGTGACCATGTACCTGATTTTCACTTGTCAGGGGTTCATTTTCCATTACCTGAAAAGCAATGCCTTGTAAACAACAGAGGCAATCAACTGTTCATCATGAAAATTGATTGTATTTATTGAAGACATAAGGAGCTGTCTTCATTAATACTTTAATATGCAGATTTTTAACATTATTTAAGCTATGGA